TCGGAACTTCTGTTTTTGCACATCGCCCGTTTGCGGAATGACCTCGATTGCGTTACTTTTCAATCTGTATTCGCTTGTTAACGTTTAAGTGTATTTTTTTTCAATAGTGGATACTCTCGCCACGGTCGATGTGAAATCGATTAATGTTTTATTTCTAGTTTTTTATAAGTAAAAACACTTTAAATACTGCGTCCTCTCTGCGACTGCTTCCTAATTGTAACTATTGACCGTGAAATAGTTTTTGTACACATAGAACTATACGTTCGAGACACTCACGTTTCTTTTTTATTCCCCAGATATCCCCCAGAGTCTAGTTCTCTAGTTATGTTCTTTCGAACATCCTTAAAGGAGCGACTTTTATAGTGTACAGTTTCTGATAGTTCTTAAAAACAACCGTTCTCTTTGTAACAGAAGCTAAATTACATTGACGTTGATGTCGTCGCGATTGCGTTTATTATGTCTTTAAAATATACATAAATATATTGTTGTCTGAAACGTGACCTCCAAGATTTATAATTAATCATGCCCCGTCCGTACAAGTTAGTTACACTGGCGATAAGTCGGTGCATTGAACGGGGCAGGATGATAATGTTTTCGTTCGCGTAATTCGATTGCATTACAGTTGCTATTGTTATCGCAATGTCTTATTCTTTTAATTGCCGTAATTTTATATTCATTAGATTCATTATGAAACCGTTCATTGAAGTTTTAAAATTACTAAGATATCTATAAATATTCTTTTATCATAATTATCAAACAACGTTTGTTACCGTTAACCTATTTTAGTAACAGCGCCACATGCCAATTCAATTGACCCCATTCTTAAAATTATTTCTGCGTAAACTCTTATATCGAGTTTGTGAAAACACATCTATTTTAAGGCTATAAAGTCGCAAACTGCTCCGACTTATTATTTGTTTGCTTTAAAGCGTGAACGTTTGCCAAGTGTATACTTGTATACAATATTCGACGTTACTCAGTCTGATTTACTGTAAACAAAGAGAGAGAGAGAAAGGCGTATGATGAAAGATATAAAGATCTTTCCGATTCATTACAACATTCGTAATACAAAATGTAAATATTTATAGCAACGCTTGTACATTCCAGCAACCGAGTCCGATTATGTTTGTTCTCGTAATATGAGATTTTAACATGAGTGGCGGACCATATGGGACTTGTGTCGTGTTTAATTGCACATATAAATTCAACNAAGAGAGAGAGAAAGGCGTATGATGAAAGATATAAAGATCTTTCCGATTCATTACAACATTCGTAATACAAAATGTAAATATTTATAGCAACGCTTGTACATTCCAGCAACCGAGTCCGATTATGTTTGTTCTCGTAATATGAGATTTTAACATGAGTGGCGGACCATATGGGACTTGTGTCGTGTTTAATTGCACATATAAATTCAACGAGCTCCATCCGGTCAGACGAGAACTTTACTGACTGGACTGGATCTGAGACACGTCCGTTAACTATCTCTAGCAAGAACCAGATCTTGAACACTCCTTATCTCATTTAGAAAGCAAAGTGCATGTAACTACGTTTTGATAGAGAGAAAAAGCGTTCTCTATTGCTTGTAGTTACTAGACGGATTTCGAATATCGTTTTCTATCTAACGTTCCACATTAATCAGTTAAATGGAAAACCAAACATAATATGCTCTGGGTACGTATAACTATCTAATCAGTTGAAACGTTTGTCGTGTTAAATATTTTCGGAGATCTACATACAACGCTCTTATCTATGACAAGAATATCGAATTACTCAGTATAATTAATTGTTCCATGTTGCTCTAGCGCCAACAGTTAAGGCGAAAACACATTTGTGTCGGTCTTATTAGCAAAACATGTCGGCACTCCTATATCATTAAGATTAATGTATTCGCTCTGAAATCGGTCTGCAAACGAAGTATATATCGGGCAATGAACGCGATTCAGTTCCCATTTCTCACGTTGAGACCAGTGCTAAGACTGGTTCATCAAGATGCCGCACAAGGCGATGATGCGGTGCCATAAAGGGTAAAACGGCATGTGTTTTTGTACTCTTCCAGACATTCTGACAAAGATTGCCTTAGAACGACGATTTGCTTAAAATTTTAGGTAAAAAATGCTTTGTGTTTGATATTATCCTTATGTATTTGTATTTTTCAAATTAGATGAACCCCGCGATTTTACTGCCTTGGAAACCTTAAAGGCAAGTAGTTATCATTGCTTATGGAAATTGGCTACGTCAGAGGTACAGCTAAGAATCCACTGCCTAAACTGAAAATTCTCAACAATGTGTGGCTTCAGTGAAGTTAAAATGAACGGAATATTAATTTTGAAGAATTTAAGTACAAAATCGCATCACAGAAACATGAAGAAACATTGTTTATTAAAATGGCACCATAAAGGTGGAGCCTTGGTCTAAACCTTATGTAAACAAAATATATGTATTATACTATAGAATAGTAGTACGATATAATGACCTACAGATAATATAATTATTAACAATCTGTTATAAAATAATAATTAATTCATAAATACCATTTTTGTTGTTCACCTGCGCGCCCTATAGTTTATTTCACAAAACAGCCGTTGGCAAGCCTCAACCGATACTAATGTTTTAATAACAGTTCTGTACAATTATCAGGATTAGTATTGTAATTGAGGTAAGAAACAACACAATCTGCTATGATCGAAGACGAACAAAAAGGTAGCGAGATTATTCAGGCCATAAATATGCATTTGCCTCACCACGGCATCAACAAGCTATTATGCTAAATAGCAAACAGCGTCGATTTGCCATTAACAGATAAATGTTTTCTATTGCATAACTCACAAACAGGTTCCAATAAAATGCCAGACGTCTCATACCATACGAGTAATATACACAGCTGTTTCTCACTTTACACCTACCTGACAATTACTGACATGTTTTTCTCGACGAATTGATTGCATGTTTCATTCCTAATATAGAAGCCGCCGTCTTTTGCACGATGTTATAGAAATAATTAAACCACTGTCTTTTGGTCACTCAAAAACAGGTCATTAATCAGAATATTCGACATATAGCAGTAGGCATCGGCTTGGCTCTGCCCCTGGCATTACTGAATTCAATGAGCGACGGTAACCACTCACCATCAGGTGGGCCGTATGCTTGTCTCCCTACAAGGGCAACAGAAAAAAAACATACAAAGTTCTTTGTTGGGATAGTACCACGAGGTTTATTTAGGTCGATTTCGTCGTTTTTAGTAATCGAGTAATCGACACGGTACAAAAAAGAGAGGATCGTTTCAGTACGACCACACGGACGGGTTTATATTTAGAGCGGGCAACAAAGGTAATGAAGGGGTAGTGGGGAAAATAGGATTACAAATCCATTAGTCGTGGACGCATATGAGTTGAAAGGTTAGTGAACCGGCAGCTGGGACGGTCGACTCAACTCAACTCATGCGGGCGAACAGAAACGTGTACGACGTGTCCGCTTGCCGCTCCGGTGAGCACACGAGGTCATACAGTACGATAACGATAAATTTACTGCGGACTAGCACCTTGCACTGTCTATTTCAATGGTACCAGACCACCTGGTGTTAAGCCACTGCTGCCACAAGAATTGGAACGCATGCTTACTTCGCGTCTGGCATAGGCCGGTGCTATCAACTTATGCGATCTCAAAACATGCCCAATCGTACCGTGGATAAATAATTAAGCACATTTACAAATTTTAGTAGTTTTTTTTTTTTTTTAAATAATACTGTTCATTTAACGTGGTAGTCGTTCGTGAACAAAATGAGTGTGAAATAAATTTACTGCGGACTAGCACCCTGCACTGTCTATTTCAATGGTACCAGACCACCTGGTGTTAAGCCACTTCTTTAGCTCAAAGTACCACCTTGAGTCGAAGTCTCATTTTCACTCACAATCTGGTATAGTCCAATGCTATCAACTTATGCGATTACACAACATGCCCAATCGTACCGGGAATAATTACACACATTTACAGAGTAGTTGTTCATGAACAAAATTACTGTGAAGGACAGTTAGAAAAATAGTAAGTTTATGACGACTAAGTACGCGGAACGTCTTGTCTATTAGGCGACGGACGTTTCGAATTAGGAGACAACAAATATGACACTGATAAATCGCTTCGTGTAGAATTCTGTACCATTCGGTATGTTAATTAGACGCTCTAATAGAACCAAATCTCTTAAATTAAATATTCGCTAAAATGTATATAAAGCTTAAATATTATGTCTACTTAAATCATAAGATCATCAAGAGCATGCAAGCTCATTTTTAAATCGAATATGTTAAATTTAGGATTTAACCTTGATTGAGATCATCTGGTACATAATGTTATAAACATGTCAACCGTGTTTCAATATATTACACAAGGATAAAATTTAAATCTTGAAACCTATTAAAATGTATTAAATAAAATCATGATCATTATTGATTTTCATAAAATTTTGTTGTGACGTTATGCTAAATATAAACGTTGATAATTTAATTTATGGTTATTTAATAGGGGTCCTTGAATCAGCTCAAAAATAAATTATTTTCTGTTCACATATTAGCATTTCTAATAACAGCTACATCTATCTCGGAGTGCGGCAAGTTTTATTGAAATAAAACTATACAACGAGTTTTATAAACTAAAAGAAGGTTATTTGTTTCGCATACCTTCTACTTGCCGAAACAGGTTATCGCAACCGGTCGCCGTCTGCTATTCTTAACAGGCATATAAATATTCTCTGAATTTTTACGTGACCTTTGTGTATGAACTTTTAAGTAGGATTTATTGTTATGCTATGTTCTAAATTATTATTAAGACGGTATTTTAACACGCTCAATTTTCATTTTTATAAACTAAAATAGTCTATATTTATATAAATTTTTTTTTTTTTTTTCGTAGTGAGATTTGTACTCTACGTAAGCGTATGTTTATTTATTATTTGTGGTCGATAAACTCATGAATATTGTTAAAATTGGTTTTTCTTTTTGTTTCAGGATCATCACCGGAACGAGACCCGGCTGAAATTAGCCAAAAAGGTAACTCAATATTTTACATAATTTATGTAAACATTACTTGTTTTGTCATTCATACATTTATTCATTATTTTTATGTTGAACAAGGATTTGAATTTGGTTGTGAAATTATACTAACAAATCGAAGGAGCGCTGCTGTCATTCAAACGTTTTGTTTTTCATAATGCATAATATTATCAAGGAAATAGGTACCATACACATAGAGAACAAGTATGGAAATGTTACTTTTTAAATTTTAAAAAGCAGTTGTAAATACTTTCTGTTTTGTAATTTGTAACTGTAAAAGTAAATTGCAGTAACGATAACTTTGTAATGTCCCAATGCGGTCATAAAATATGGCATAATAATACTTGATTAACGATTGCAATTGATTGGCTGGATACCTGGTTTAAAGATCTCAAATATATTATTAATATTATTAAATCATTTATGCGGAATACTAACGACCTTATTTTTAGTTTTATTTTATTTTATTTTTATTGCTTAGATGGGTGGACGAGCTCACAGCCCACCTGGTATTAAGTGGTTACTGGAGCCCATAGACATCTAACCCACCTTGAGATACAAGTTCTAAAGTCTCAGTATAGTTACAACGGCTGCCCCACCCTTCAAACCGAAACGCATTACTGCTTCACGGCAAAAATAGGCAGGGCGGTGGTACCTATCCGCCCGGACTCACAAGTGGTCCTACCACCACTTAAGTTTGGTTTGGTGGTTCGACTATTGACAAAAGATAAATTACATAAGATCACAACGCATTAGCTGCTTATACAATTCGATTGTATACTTGCCCTAACGGTTATTGTGAAACATATTTATACTGAAAAATCCAGATCACCTTCCTTAATTTCACATTCAAATCCGTAAGTCTGTTTGTTCAGTCCTCATCTGCGTATGCATCGATTTTATTTATACACAGCGGTCGAGTTTTGAAAGCCAGAGGTCGTAGCGGACGACAAATACATTTGTTATTATCATTTCACGATCTAAATTTCAATTAACTACCCGAGTAACGGGGTCACGTCGTTTTCGATGGATGTTTTCTACATAATTCTTTATTCGTGCGTCCGTTTCGGTTATGTTAATTTAGCTATTATTATGTACTGTGCAACGGTTTGTGACTAATTCGTATGTGCGCTGTTCTTGTTCGTGTCGTGAATTATATTTACAGAAAAATACTTTGGATCGTTGAAGTTTAACGTGTTGTGTCGTTCGTTGACCAAATATCCATAATTCTTGTTATTTTGATACTCTTACATTAATGTGGTACTTACATGTTATCTGTCTGTTGATGCTTCTTACATCAGTTATCTGGTTTTGTATACACTAGCTTTCAGAGGTAACTTGACAAATTACATGGCTCAGTTGTATTTTTTCCTCACACTTGAAGTTAATTCTCAGATATTATTATTTAACCTAAGCTCCAAGATATATTTGTTTATCATGCAGCTGACCTTTTTTATTGAACTCTTATAAGTACATACAATCGACGAGACTGTTCAATGGACAATAATTGCCTGCACTTTCGTTTAGTAGTATTATTTAATGCTCGCAAAACGTGTTTTCGTTTATAACTTTTAATTATAAAAATACATATATGTGAAATTACAATTATACTAAAATGGCTTGTTACCGGTCTATACCGGTCAAGTTTTTTTTTCTCAGAAATAATAATTACAAAACTCGCTCTACAAACAAACGAATATATTTTCGAGGTAATTGCGTACTGGTATCTGTGCGTCATCTTATAATCATTTATAAAGATTTTACACGTAGGTATAATTAACTGAATGAATATTCAAAACGCTCCTCATGCGAATCATTTATGGGCCTTGGTTTGGCATCTTGATTTTTTACTAAACGCATGCGACTGGTTAACATTTTTATTGGAATTAAAATAATAGTTCTAATCTGAGTATGTAGATGTTTAGTTTATAAGATCTTACTAAAAAAAATATATGCAAGTCGTTATTTTACTATAATGAACACATAAAATTCAAGGATATTTACTCATTAAGTCATAAAATTAATGTATAACTCGAATTCAGTGCGATACAATAGTTTTAAAATCATGATGAAACCCACTCAAGGTGCCCTCAAATTCCGGTAATGAGCGCGACTAAATGTTGCGACTACGTACATAGAAATACCAAACTATAGCTGCAGATATTAACGCTAATTGCGCTTTGCATTGGCTATTAAATACCAAGTCCAACAATAAAAGCCGTAGTAGTAATCTTGACATTACAACACACTTATGAAACTTTCTATTTCGCACGTCACTAGCTCTGGCGGGCGTGCTGTTTATTAGCGCGTATTGACAGCCGACACAAAAGTATTCAGAACTGCGAACAATGTCCAGAAGAGGTCAGACGAACAAACCGAACCAGTATTTCGTTTGTGAACAACCAAGAAAGTGGCCGGTGAAAGTACCCGTTCAAATCGTTCGACTGATTTATTAAATGTTTCATAACTCTATTCGTAACGAAACCGGTTCTTTTTGTGCTTATATGGCTACGTTTTTAACGTTATAAAATAGCCGGCTAATAACAATGAAGATAATGTATGGGGATTTGAAAGCGAACCTGCCCCTTTTGTTACTCCAGCCACCCGGGTGAGGACCCCGGCATATTATGTTGTTAAATAGATTTGGGGCATCTCTCCTTTCAAAAGGTTACAGTTATTCTTCACTACCTGTACGTTGCTTTGGATGGAATCGCCTTCTAAATTTTTTCCTCAGTCAAGCTTTAAGATTTGTTTTTTGTCACTGATAAATCGTTATCTATGGGCAAGGGAAAAACTAAAAAGATGAATGTTTATTATGGCTTCTTTTTTTCGTTTGTATATTCGCTCGGTTCCTATTCAATCTAGTTAAAAATTTGTGTAGCTGTGTTGTTGGCACTAAGGGTGGGTTTTTTGACAAATAAATGTATTTTATAATCGAAGTCGCAGTGTTGCGTAGTTGGGCTTCCCAGGAATAAAATTTATATTTTATAATTTACTCGGCTTGAAATCTTACGCAGAGTCCATACAATCGCAAACATTTATATTGTGGGGTCATGCGCGGTCAAGACATCGAATTCTTTCATCATTATCTTCTTGAAAATAAATTTGTTTTACGATAAAGAGATAATATGAATACCATAATTACCGGAAGGCAGGGTCCTCGCTTCGTCATAAGCAGACTTGTTGGTATTACCTATTTTAATGGACTGACTCGGTGGTGTACTAGTTAGAACCTGTTACTGTTGCGCGGAGGGTCGTGGGTTCGATTCCCTCATAGTGCGATGAACAGGTTTGTTTGCTCAATAAATGTAATATAATATGTAAACGTACGTAAGTATGTATGTATTATTATTGTGATAGGCGTATTAATGACCCTGCAAATGAATGAAACTTCGGGTTGCTAGTGGCTAACATGCCGGACATACTTATGATCTCTGGATATTTATGCTTAAAATCTAAAGGGTTAAAGGACCTTGGCCATTATCCAGAAATTTATTATAAACTAGCTGACCCGGCAGGCTTCGTAGTGCTTCAGTCGATAAATAAAAGACCTAAACTTTTGTATAAAGTAAACTTAAAACAAACAAAAGGAATCCGTCCGGAAAATTGTTATTTTTATTTAATTTCATATTTATCTACCTTGTAAACCTTCTCTGAACTTCCACAAATAATTCAAGACCAAAATTAGCCAAATCGGTCCAGCCGTTCTCGAGTTTTAGCGAGACGAACGAACAGCAATTCATTTTTATATATAAAGATTCGTCAATAGCTTTACGTGAATATAATATTCCAGCTTTTCAATAAACAAGGTAATGACAGTACCCGTAGGTATGCCGTGTAAACATCTGCACGCGTCACCTGTGCTCTCTGCAATAACTAATATCATTAAATTTAATTTAGCCCGCATGCCTCGTGCAAATGTACTTTGCACACGCTTGAATTTATTATCCATGTGCTTATGGCGTGTTGGTAAATGAATGCATTCCCAATATAACGAAACTCGTTTTTTCTTTACGTGCAACATTCGACTTTCCAATTTATTTAATTAAATAGTACATTTTATTTCGAACCACGACACAAGGTGCGTTTCTTGAATTATAATTATATTGAAAATTGTTGTTGTTTGGACGCTAGTTAAAATAGCAAAAGTATTTTTCATTTTAATGTGATTCGTAACTTGACCGATATACCTAAATATGAAAGAAAAACAGATGGAACATAACTGAGTAACGTTAAAACTAAAGCTAAAAGGATTAATCGGCGCAACCAACTTAAATTACATGAGTAGACAAACGAAACAAAAGAACATAATGTATAATATCAGACATGTGACTGAATAATGATCATATGATAATGTCTCGTTCTGAGTCGAATTGAATATTTAACGAGTAACATGAGGGGAAAACAAGCGTTCCGTGCGTCGGTGAACATACTTTATGTCAGTTAAAATTATTTTATTAGTTCCTGGAAGGCCGTGCAATTTAATTAAATCACATTAATTATTTCCTCTTACTTCAAGCGTTTTACAAAGAGCAGTAAAAAGTAAGTTAAATAAAACCAAATTAGGACAAAACAACTCTCGGTAATCAAAAGAAAACAAAGTAGGTATTAATTTAATATGCCCGTTAAGCAGATACGTAATTCGTTTAACCTTTATTTCGCCTTCAATACTTTCGACCCGAAACAGCATATTTGGGATATCAGCGTAATCACCTCTGTCATGGTGAGCAGAAGGCGCTGCTATTTCAGGGTCGTGTCTCGTACAAGCAAGTGTCAGTTATTCGAATCACCCCGCCGGTCGCCACCTGCGCTTTGAGCCCCGACCGGCAAAACGAGTTTCGAACGATCGCAATCCTCGTCCGCCGTCGCCTTCTGCAGTTATGAAACGTTATTTATCGCCTTCATGATTTTATTTTACCGCTTGCGCAATAATACACGCTTTGATGGATACGACAACAACATCATTCCATGGCCTCGTATGAGGATATAATAATATC